TTATGTTCTAGAAGGCCGTCTGGTTACTTGTCTCATTGCTAGGTCCCCCCAAAGGGAAGAACCACAGGTGCCAAACTCACCCAAACCTACAAGCAAACACAGTCGACCCACAGGATCTAGTCTGACTGCGTTCCAGGATTACACCCCACGAGAGGGAAGGCTACGAGCCTGACATCAGGCACTCCCAGATCAGACAGGTAGTGATGCCGGTAGCCCTGTAACACTGAGGGTTACCTACGGGGCAGAAATGCTGGAGTCCATAGTCAGGAAAGAAGAAATCTGCCCCCATTTGAACCTGTCACAAGACAGCAACTCTGCTCTGAATTCCTGCCTTCAAAATCAAGGCAGAGATGAACACTTTTTCAAATGCATTCGCTGATTACATTTCTAAGAGGAAATACTGGCAAGAGGATTTGGGAAATGGTCACCCATACTTTGTGTGGTTACCTCTTTCTCAGTCCATGGCAGGATTGGGCACAGAGCACACAGCATCGCTAAAAGGCAGACACACTGCGAAATCCTGACCTGGGCTTTCAGAGTTTTAACACCCTGAGCTTACTTTGAATGTCCGATCTCTGTGACGCATGGGCAGAGCAGATGTTGGGGAGGATGCCCAAGCTCCCTAGCACTGCCTGCCCTCCATCCCTATCACTGAGTCATCCGGACAGCCCAGCTGAGTCCCCTGCCGCTGCACAGAACAGCTGCCCATGCAAACAGCCTGCAGCCCTCGCCCTGCACTTGGCATGTTACAGACAGTGAAACCTGCCCACGTACCCAGTTCCTGCTAGAAGGGAGCCGCTGGCACCAGAGGTCTTCACTCTAACGGACAAAGAGCCATCAGTGTAGTTGCATGGGCAGCAGGCAGTGTGTGTTCAGCTAGGGAGGCAACTGCCTTTATGCAGCATGTTTGTACCTTCCCTTGGGGGCCACTTGGCCATCAGGGAACCTCAGCTGCTTGGCTTCGTGTGCATCAGTTTTAACCTCATCATAGCCAATGGCAAATGGCTAGAGGTCAAGGCACAGGCACTGCAGGCTCCATTCCTAGAAACCGGTCTTGGCCGCACTATGAGTATGGGTCCAATTAGTCACATAGCTCCCTTGGGTGTGACCACATGATAACAATGATACTTGCACAATTGTGCTTCTGCTGAAATAAATTAAAATAATATGGAGTAATAATATAGGACTAGATTTCTTCATCACAAGCAAACCCATTGTGCAGGCATGGGAAAGGCTATTCTACAGTGCCCTGTACATGGGAATATCCCTCTCCAGGAGGGGAGAGACCTTCCCTTCTCCCTGAGGAATGAAAAGGGGGATCCAGAGATCCCCAGAGTTAGACACTGAGCTCAGTGAACCACTGGTAGACAGGCCCAGCCATGCACAAGCTCTGGGCTTGCTGAGCTGCTATTGGACATTTTCCAGCTCCCTGTTAGCACAAGCTGATCACAGATGCGCTACCAGGGCTTGTCACAGTAGCCTCTTCCTGTAGGATCTCCTGAAAGGGTGTTGTACAGGGTGCAAGGGGCTGCACAGAGATGGGAACACCCTCCCCCAGCCATACTCCATGGGAGATTTCCACCTTCCACATCCAGAATGCAGACAATGACTTGGTGACAGCCACCTTCATTTATGTTTCAAGGGAGAGGCGGATGAAAGGCCTCTCACTTCTCGTGGGGATCCAGGCAGCTGGGCAACATCCTGGCTCTTGAGATTTCAGAGAAAAAGAAATACCCATTTTCTATGAAAACCCATCCCGAAAAAGGAGGGAAAGGAAAGATTTGGATTGGATCCCAATTGTTCATGGGCTGAAAAAACTCTGTTTTCCAATCCAGCTCTAGCTCAACCCAAGAGATTCTATTCCTTGCCATACAGCACCACACCCCTAGGTGGCAGCACTTGTCTCCATCTGCCTCCCTCACTGGGCAGCCCTTGAAAGCCTGCTGGGGGGGGGGCTCAGCCAGCTCTATAACACTGGCACCCCATGGAAATGGCCTGTCTGTACCAGCCCAAACATGCGTGGAATCATTTCATACTATGCAAACAGCCATATCATTCAGACCAATGGTCTATCTAGCCCGGTGTCCTGGCTTCTGACACTGGTCCATTCAGATACAGTAATTCCACATTTAAAACGATAGATGCATTTCTGAAAATGTTCATGCTAAGCGAAAACGTGCTTTGTGGGGTCAATTTTCCCATTAAAACAATGCAAAAAGTGGGGATTGTGTTTCAGGTGGTGGTGGCGAAGTCCATTTTTTGTTGGTGCGGGGTCATCAACATCAACATTAGATATCTAGCCACACGAGTCACCGAGGTTTGTTTGTCTCTGTATATAATGTGGTGTCTTGGGGGACAGTCTTTGAATGGCCATGGAGACAACGGAAGTGTTCCATTGTGTTGAGCCATTCCACTGTTACGGGGTACAAATGCACAGTGGTTCTGTAGAGTCTATTGACAACTATTAATGAACTTTGCTTAACAATAAACCTAGCCTGGCGCCTTTGATCCTTACCTGATTTGTGGTCTTTGGGGAATCTCTTGGAGTCTGCTGTGGAGACTAAGGGTGTGTCTAGACTACTGAGTTTTGTCGACAAAAGTGGACTTTTGTCGACAAAACTATACCAGCGTCTACACTACCGCTGAGTTCTGTCGACATAAAGTCGATAGAACTCAGCAGTTTTGTCGACGCTGGTAAACCTCATTTTACGAGGCATAACACCTTCTGTCGACAGAGTTCTATCGACAGAAGGTGTTATTGCCTGTAGGGTTGCGTCTAGACTACAGGGTTCTGTCGACAAAGCAGCTTGCTTTGTCGACAGAACTCAATGTGTCTGGATGCTCTTTGTCAACAGAAGTTTAGTCAACAGATACTGTCGACAAAACTTCTGTCGACAAAACCCGGTAGTCTAGACGTACCCTAAGTGCACTAGTCTACCCAACACACATCACTGAGCACACACGCAAGCAGCCTTCTGGTTATCATCATCGACAGAGACAGACATGTGAGGACATCGGGACAGTGAATCCTGGCCCCTGATAACTAATAGCATTGCTGAACTGCTGTCTGAGTAACTACAATTTAAAATGTATTTAAAATGATATTACAGCTGGGTGACAACCACTAGGCAAAATACTTGCAGTCTGGTTATGAAGGGCCAACTCAGGGTAATGGGCCATTAGTGGAAATAAGGCCGCAGCAGTCTATGGATAATGGCTGATAGTACCCAACTAGGGATGCAAGGGCACGTGACCAGATCACATGACACTGAACTCCATTTTTGTACCTGTATTTATTCACACACTAATGTGGGGTGTGACATCACTTTTTGGTCTTGTTCCCCACACCAGATAATTCATGGAAACACCAGTGGAATAGAAGAATGTACTGGGGGAGAAGAAAGGGGTCCCTGGCTAAAGTGATTTCTAATCTGCATGTGAAAAGTTGGTGAAATATTTGTATCAGTCAGGGTGCAAAATTGCTAATCAAAGCTTATAGTAAGTTAGGCTTATTTTGTGTTTTGTTTATTGCTAGGAAATCTGGCAGGCTGCAGAATGGGCTGTTATCTCCTGCTTGTCCAGAGTGGTTTGGTACAGCGCTGAAGTAGCCCAATTGGGTATATAGCGAGATCTGCTGTCACGTGGGATGATAGCAGAACCTGGAGAACCTGGCTGTGTCATCAGTTGAGGCCACCTCAGCTGACCAGATAGGGGGCTCCGCATTTCCAAGGGCTCCCACCATGGGACAAACTGGTAGTTGGATAGTAGTAAGTAACCAGGACCAGATAATATTCTCCTCAGAGTTACAACAGAACTCAAGTATCGAATTCCGGAATTAATAATTGTGG